AGTTTTTTGTATTTTTTTAGTAGAGACGGGGTTTCACCATGTTAGCCAGGATGGTCTCGATCTCCTGACCTCGTGATCCACCTGTCTCGGCCTCCCAAAGTGCTGGGATTACAGGCTTGAGCCACCGCACCCGGCCTCTTTTTTTTTGAGATGGAGTTTCACTTTTGTTGCCCAGGCTGGAGTGCAATGATCTCGGCTCACCGCAATCTCCGCCTCCCAGGTTCAAGCAACTCTCCTGCCTCAGCTTCCCTAGTAGCTGGGATTACAGGCATGTGCCACCACACCCAGCTTACTTTGTATTTTTAGTAGAGATGGGGTTTCTCCATGTTGGTCAGGCTGGTTTTGAACTCCCAACCTCAGGTGATCCACCTGCCTTGGCCTCCCAGAGTGTTAGGATTACAGGCATGAGTCACTGTGCGCGGCCTGTCACCCAGGCTGGAGTGCAGTTGCGTCATCATGGCTCACTGCAGCCTCTACCGTCTAGGCTCAAGCGATCCTCCCATCTCAGCCCCTAAGTAGCTAGGACTGCACGCATGCATCCCCATGCCCAGCTAGTATTTACATTTTTTGTAGAGACGAAGTTTCACTATATTGCCCAGGCTGGTCTCAAACTCTTGGACTCGAGCGATACTCCCGCCTCGGCCTCCCGAGGTGCTGGGATTACAGGCGTGAGCCACGTGGCCTGGGGTATTGTCCTCTTATGGCACCTGACTGTGGTGGGCCCTGGGAAGGAAGGAGCAGAAAAGGGTTATCCTTGGTTTCCTGGATAGGAAGTGAGTGTTGCGGAGGCCCCAGGGCCTGGCTGTGTTTAGGGACAAAGGGAGCTGGGAGCCAGAAGCCGAGAGTTTAAACACCCACTGTCCTTCTCTGCTCCTGCTGCTGCAACCCAACTTAACCAGCCAGGAGCGCCATGAACCGGAGCAGGGTCCCCGTGCACACAGCAGGAGGCTCAGGAATTCTTTTCTGTTCTCCCTTGGGAGCTGGGAGGATCTTACCAGGCAATAAGAGATGGCACTGACCAGCCAGCTATTTTTAAAAATCACTTTATTGTTTAACCATACAACTCACCCACTTAAAAAAGTGTACAATTCAGTGGGTTTTAGTGTATTCACAGATGCGTGCAACCCTCACCCCAGTTAATTTTAGAACATTTTCCTACCCCTAAAAGAAACTCTGCATGAAGCCAGCTGTTTGTAAATTAGCAAAGTTATTTTGCATCCATTAAGTATTTGTTCATGGTACAAAATTCAAAAGGTACAGAAGAGCCTGCAGTCCAAAGAGACCCTGCCCCATGACGCCAAGCAGGACTCCCCCGAGGCATGGCCTCCTGTGGTGTGTTTCTTCTGTGTCCCCCCGGGGTCATCTGTACACATGCAAGCATACAAGACCGTGGACTGTGTTTTCCCAGCCAAAAGATAATTGTAGATTTACGTGCAGTTGTGAGAAATAGCACAGACCATTTATCCTCTGCCTGGTTTCCCCACTGCTGCCATCTTGCATGACTTTCGTGCCTATCGTAAGCAAGATACTGATATGATCCTTTGGCCTTATTCAGATTGACATAAGTGTTTTTGTTTGTTTTTGAGACAGACTCGCTCTGTCGCCCAGTGGGAGTGCAGTGGCACAATCACAGCTCACTACAGCCTCAAACTCCTGGGCTCAAGCGATTCTCCCGCCTCGGCCCCCCAAGTAGCTCAGACGGCAGGAGTGCACCATCATGCCAGGCTAACTTTTAAGTTTTTTGTAGAGGTGAGGCCTCACTATATTGCCTAGGCTGCTCTTGAATTCCTGAGCTAAAGTGATCCTCCAGCCTCAGCCTCCCAAAGTGTTAGGATTACAGGCATGATGAGCCACTGTGCCTGGGCTGACATGTGTGTTTTCGTAAGCCCAAAAGATAGCATCTGAAGAGTCAACATTGAGCCTTGCCTTTTGCTACTAACGATGTGTAAAAGCTGGTGTTCTGAGCATTTTGGAGGCTCCCAGCTGCCGTGTGCACCTTGCCTTAGAACTCTACCGTAACCCATCTCCGCAAGGAGGTGCTGTTGTTTTCCTCATTTTGCAACAAGGAGGCCAAAGAACTGAGCATGAACCACTGGCCTGGGTCGTTCGGTCAGTAGGCCGTGGGGCCAGGCCGTCCAACTCACGACCACCTTCTACTCTGCTGCCCCCGCACCCTGAAGTTTGTTCTGCTTCGAGGGCAGAGCTGTCACATTCTTGGTGACTGAACAGCGCTCCTTGTCAGGCGTGGCTGGGTCCCCACTGGAGGGCATCAGGGTCCCCTCTCCTGCTGCGGTTGAACCTTGGCTATTTCAACCACTCTTGCCAAGTGACCCTCTGAAAGGGACAGTCCATCTTCTCTCAGCAGAGGGCCACACCGGTAAAACTGTCCCTGGCACCGTTTCTCTCCACCAGTCTAATATAGAGTAAAAATGGTATCATGTTGAGATCTTCATTTATATTTGTTTTGTTATGAATGATGTCAAGCATCATTTTATGTGTTTAAGAACCTTTGGGCCTGGCGTGATGGCTCGCAGCAGTAATCTCAGCACTTTGGGAGACTGAGGTGAGTGGATCACTTGAGACCGGGAGTTTGAGACCAGCCTGACCAACATGGAGAAACCCTGTCTCTAGTAAAAATTTAAAAATTAGCCAGGCATGGTGATCCCAGCTACTTGGGAGTCTGAAGCATGAGAATTGCTTGAACATGGGAGGCAGAGGTTGCAGTGAGCTGAGATCGTGCCATTGCACTCCAGCCTGGGTGAGAGAGTGAGACTCTGTCTCAAAAAAAAAAAAAGAACTTTTGTCATTTTATTTTTCTCAGAAGGGTTTGTGCAAAGTCCTTCTTCTATTGGGTTGCTGATACTCTTACTCATTTGTGAGGTCTCTTTAGATACAGATAGACTATGGAAATTGGCCCAGAGCCTGCAATATGTGTTGAAAATATTTGTTTCCCAGTTTTTTGTCTTTTTATTTGGGTTATGGTATGTTTTACCATTTATACCATGCAAGTATCAATCTTGGCTGGCGCTGGTGGCTCACGCCTGTAATCCCAGCACTTTGGGAGGCCGAGGCGGGTGGATCACTTGAGGTCAGGAGTTCGAGACCAGCCTGACCAACGTGGTGAACCCCCATCTCTACTAAAAACAGAGAATTAGCAAGGTGTGGTGTTGCGTGTCTGTAGTCCCAGCTACTTGGGAGGGTGAGGCAGGAGGATTGCTTGAACGCAGGAGATGGAGGTTGTAGTGAGCTGAGATCACACCACTGCATTCCAGCCTGGGTGACAGAGTGAGACTCCGTCTCAAAAAAAAAAAAAAAAAAAAAGGAATTATCAATCTCCTCTTTTATGGTATGTGTGTGTGTATGTATTTATATATATATATATTTTGTTGTTGTTGTTATGCTCAGAAAGACCTTCCCTACTGTGATCATAAAAAACAACTTATTTTCACACTCTCTTTCTTAATGTTCTCCTCCTCTCATTTTACATTCACATCTTTAATTCTTTTGCGGTATAATTAGATTTGATGAGCAAGGCGGGCATCCAGCTTCTTTGCTGATGCCTTCTGGGTGGCGTGAATTAGTTGGGGTCTATCAGGAGGCAGAAACTCTATAAGAATTTGAACAGAGAAAGTTCCGTCTACAGGCTTATTACCAGGGACTGGAATAGCAGGAATTGAACAGTGAGGTGTACAGAGAACTCTAAGAATGCAGGAATAGGCCAGGCGCAGTGGCTCACGCCTGTCATCCCAGCACTTTGGAAGTCCGAGGTGGGTGGATCACCTAAGGTCAGGAGTTCAAGACCAGCCTGGCTAACATGGTGAAACCCCATCTCTACTAAAAATACAAAAAAATTAGCCAAGCGTAGTGACACATGCCTGTAATCCCAGCTACTCAGGAGGCTGAGGCAGGAGAATCACTTGAATCTGGGAGGCGGAGGTTGTAGTGAGCCGAGATCGCGCCATTGCACTTCAGCCTGGGCGACACAGTGAGACTCAGTCAAAACATCAACGACAACGCAGGAATAGCAGAGGAGCCGAGGTGGAGCCTCCCCGCCCCCACCCTGGGCCGAGATCCAGTCCTCATTGAAGAGGGCATGGCCGTGATTCACTGGACATCTGAGACGTTGCCGAGGCACTGCACTGGTGGATCTTGCCAGAAATCTGCCCAGTGCAGATTTGGGCAGAATCTCAAACTGCCTTGGGATGTGGGAGAGAAACCAGGTCTGATCAAGTTCATGGGAAGAGTTGGAAACAGACCCCATAGGCTGGGGCTTGGGTAGCCGCAGGAAGCCCTTTCTGCTGCCTCACTGCCTGCTCTCTGCTTTGAAGCACCGTCCCCAGCGCCCCAGTCTCGTGCCCTCCCGATGTTGGGGTCAAATCCTGAGAAATAGCCAGGCTGGCCTTCTGGGCCAAAAAGGACCCTCCCAGAAAGAGCAGGGCCCAGTGCTGCTTCCTAAAGGGCAGGGGAGGGGCCTGGGCACTCCCCAGAGGCTACTCAGCAGCCATCAGGATGGCCCCAGGAAGCAGGCCTTCTCGAGCCCATTTTATTACTTTATTGTATTATTTCATTTAATTTTAAATTTATTTTTTGAGACACAGTCTCACTGTGTCGCCCAGGCTGGAGTGCAGTGGTGCGATCTCGACCCACTGCAGCCCCTCCCTCCTGGGTTCAAGGGATTCTCCCACCTCAGCCTCCCAAGTAGCTGGGATTACAGGTGCCCGCCACCACGCCTGGCTAATTCTTGCATTTTTAGTAGAGACGAGGTTTCACCATGTTGGCCAGGCTGGTGGTCTCTAACCCCTGACCTCAAGTGATCTGCCTGCCTTGGCCTCCCAAAGTGCTAGGTCGAGCCCATTTTAAAGATGAAGAAACTGAGACTGAGACAGGTAAATTCCTTCCCCGGGGATCCTGCTGCAGCCGGAAGGTGGTAAAACAGGACTTCACCTGGGTCTGTCTGGCGTGAAAGGCTGTGCTCTCGTACTGTCCTAGGGGGCCTGGGAGAATTGAGTCCCTCCGGGCATAACTGACAGTTCCCTTCCCATTACTCCGCAGGAGCTCAGACCTGGCTGTATCCTTTCCAGGATGGCCTTGGAGACCCATCTAAGCCCTGCACCCTTTGGGAAGCTGCATGTTGGGTTGGGGTGCCGTAAGTGGCACTTGTGGAAGGTGCAGACCTGTGTGGGTGTGTGGGCCCGGGGTCCCTTCATCCCTTTGTAGGGTTGGTTGTGTGCTGCCCGGCCCTGGAGGGCAGGTTCACATGGTGAATTTGTCTATTTACTATCTCAGCTTTGGGGCTGGTGCCAGCACAGGCGCTTGTGAAGGGGGTGCCTTTGTCTGGAGTGGGGCCGCGGCCCCTCCCTCAGTGTGGCGACCTCCGTGTGTGGGTCAGGGCTGCAGCAGGGACACAGAGCAGAGCCCCTGAGTGTTTGGAACAAGGGTGTCATTGCAGGAGTTAGACTGTGCGCGATGGAGAGAGGAGGGGCAGGAGGAAAGGTCAGAAGGAGGGTTCCTGGGAAGGTCCCTGAGGAGCCTGGTGAGGTGCTCACTGGTGTGGGGGACACTTAGGGCCTGTGGGGACATCTCCGCCTGCTGGGGCCCAGCCACAAAGGGGACTGACCGAAGTCCCGTCCCTGCCTTCACAGCCCAGCATCTGGTCACAAGGCAGGCACTCGGAAGGGCGCGGGGTTCCTTTTGCCTCTCACCGAGACGACCTTCGGGGCAGGTGGCTGCTGCCTACCCTCCCATCCCCAAGTTTCGCCAGCTGGCCAGAGGAAGGGGTCCTGGGAAGCAGGGGTCCAGAAGCCCTCCCTGCAAGGAAAGCCCAAGAGGTGTGGGAGGAAGGAAGAAAGGCCCAGGCTGGCGAGGCTCTGGGTCACCCTGGCTTGGCTCTCCTCAGATCCTGAACCCGCCGCCCTCCCCAGCCACGGACCCCTCCCTATACAACATGGACATGTTCTACTCTTCAAACATTCCGGCCACCGCGAGACCGTACAGGTAGGATGTCCCCCGCAGCCCTCCATGGCCGTTGGGTTCCCACCAGCCCATGGTGGAGGGGCCTTATCCCCATGCCACTGGTGGGGGGTTCTGGGGTCTAGTGGGCAGGTGCTGGGCCCAGCCCTGCCTCCCTCTGCTCTGCCGACCCTACTAGGCTGCCTCCCCAGATGCACCCAGCGGGGACTGCGTGTTGGGTTCAGAAACCAGTAGAGCCCCGCGTTCTGAGCTGCTCTTCAGCTTGCTCCTGTGGGGGTTACCTTTAAGCCGGGAGATGGCTGTGGAGTCGAGGGGCCGAAAACTTGGGCTCCAGGGTGCAACTGTATGTGTGAGGCCGGCTGTGGAACCCTAGCCATTGAGATGCCCCCTCTTGGTGGCTCGGTCCTCTTAGGACGGGACAAGTCTGTGAAGGCTGCTGCAGCACCCACTGTGGACCCCTAATCGTGTGATGTCACCAGGATGATCCGGGCAGCTCACTTGCCACAGTGGCCTGTTTGAGCCCGGGAAGCCAGCGGGGCTGTTCAGCCAGACACCAGCCCCCGAGCTCCCCATGTTGGGGTCACAGGCCCCACCTCCCTGCTTGGGGAGGGGTAACTGAGAGTGTGGAGAAGTGGGACCCAGGTGTGCTGGTTTCCGCAGGGGCTGGATCAGAGCCTGGAATGGGCAGGGTGAGCCTCCTGACCTTTAACCCAGTGGTGTTAGCCAACAGGGCCCACCTGCCAGCTGCACCAGGCCCCACCCCCAGGGGTGATGGGGTGGGATGGGTTGGGCCTGGGCCAGGCCACCTCAGGGCCACACGTGCCTCTTTGCTTGGGTCCCTGGAGCAGCAGGGCCTCCTGAGTGTGGTGCCGCCTGCCACCTAGTGGCCATTTCCACGAACTCCCAGGCCTGGCTGGGGAGCCAGAACTGCAGCCTCCATTTCCATCCCCCTCTGGGTTCGGCCACCTCCCTGATGCCTCAGTATCATATCAAACTGTCACAGTCTGTCCCAGCAGCCTTACGGACCACTGTCTCCAGAATGGTCACATCCACACTGGGCAGGCCAGTCTCACCAGGCCCCTGTCCCACCTCCTGCCTTTGCTCATGGCGTCCTGCTCTGGGCCCCACCGCGGAGACATCGTCGCTCCCCGCCGCCTGACCTCGCAGTAGCTGGGCCCCAGGAGGGGTAGCCTGCTGCACTTTTCTCAACACGAGGTGTTGGCTGCACCTTCCCACCCACTGCAAGCCCCTCTATGACAGGACGGGGGCTCCTAAACACACCACGGTTCCGAGTCTGGACTCACACAGTGGGATGCAGTGTTTCTGGGCCACAGTTGGGTACAGGCAGCCTCTGGGAGGATGGGAGGTCAGGAGCCATCTCGCGAGTCAGGTTGCTTGAACTCAGGATGGGAGCATTCCAGGCCCACTGGTTGCTGTATTAGCCTGTTCTCACGCTGCTAATAAAGACATACCTGAGACTGGGTAATTATAAAGGAAAGAGGTTTAATGGACTCACAGTTCCACACGGCTGGGGAGGCCTCACAATCATGGTAGAAGGCAAGGAGGAGCAAGTCACATCTTACATGGCCTCAGGGAAGAGAGAGCATGAGAACCAAGTGAAAGGGGTTTCCCCTTATCAAACCATCAAGTCTAGTGAGATTTATTCGCTGACACGAGAACAGTACGAGGGAACCACCCCCGTGATTCAGTGGCCTCCCGCTGGGTCCCTCCCACAACACGTGGGGATTATGGGAGTACAATCCAAGGTGAGGTTTGGGTGGGGACGCAGCCAAACCATATCCCTTGCCAACACTTACAGTAACAATGTTAGGGGAACAGTTGTCCAGTTTCCTGTTTTGTCAGGCACTGTTTCTAGCACTTTCCAGGCAGAATCTCATGTATCTTTCACTTTTGAAATGGGTACTATTTAATCCCTCACTTTTATTAATGAGAAACTAAAGCTCAGAGAGGTCAAGACAGTTCCTGGCCAAGGTCAGCTAGCAGGCTCTGGAGGCCTCGTTCTCCTCAGAGGCAGCCTTGCCAGGGCCCAGGCTTGGCAGGCTGCAGGGCAGGTGCGGGCATGCCCATGGTAGAGGTGGGGCTGTTGAGGGTAAGCTGAGAGCGTAAGTGATGAGCCCCGGCCACACAGCGGGGTGGGTCCAGAGTCAGGCCTGCATTTTCTGGAGCTGGCCAGTGGACAGGCCTTTCCCGTTCACAGCCTCAGGGCTGCTGTGCCCACCAGGACGGATGTGCCTACCAAATCCCAATTCTGTGTGTGTCCCTTTCAGGCCCTACATCATTCGAGGAATGGCGCCTCCCACGACACCCTGCAGCACCGACGTGTGTGACAGTGACTACAGCGCCAGCCGCTGGAAGGCCAGCAAGTACTACCTGGATTTGAACTCGGACTCAGACCCCTACCCGCCCCCACCCACGCCCCACAGCCAGTACATGTCGGCAGAGGACAGCTGCCCGCCCTCGCCCGCCACCGAGAGGAGCTACTTCCACCTCTTCCCGCCCCCTCCATCCCCCTGCACGGACTCATCCTGACCTTGGCCGGGCCACTCCGGCTTCTCTGTGCCCCTGTAAATAGTTTTAAATATGAACAAAGAAAAAAATATATTTTATGATTTAAAAAATAAATATAATTGGGATTTTAAAAACAGGAATGTGAACAGTGATGGGGTGGGCAGGGCTGGGAGAACTTTGTACAGTAGAGAAATATTTATAAACTTAATTTTGTGAAACAGAGCTGCCATTCTTTCGCGCCCTGTGTGCATTTGAGTCGTGTGTCCCCGTGGAGCGAATGCCGATCCCCGGACCACTGTGAGAGTCCTCCCGCACCCGGGCATCCCTCTGGCTGGCTCCCGCAGGGAAAGGCTGGGGCCTCGGGCAGAGGCGGATGTCTCCCCTGGGATGCATCTCTGAGCTGCAGGCCGGGCCAGCTTTATGTTCGTGTGGCCTGTGCCGTCAGAAAGGGCCCCAGGCTTGATCACACTGTGCTTTTTGTCTTCCTCAGGTTCTTAAGTCTTTTTTTTTTTTTTTTTTTT